CAGAGGCAGCGGCTGGTGCATTGGCATATCAGTGGTGGATATCTCACAGCCTAGCTCGTGGCTTAGATAAACATATCTCTCTAAATCTTCCTTGTGCAAAACTCTTGGGCATCCTGTAAAATGGCAAGTCAACGATAAGACTTTCTGTAAAGGTGGGAGTGGCTGAACTCATCTTTCGGTGAGAAGCAAAGTTTTCATTGTTTGGCTTGTTCTGCTTTTTGCTTTTATTAAATTCCCTTTTGGTTTTAATGTTCCCCCTGCCTCCCATTCCATATAAAAGATTAATCTCCTCCCAGTGAGGCAGATCAGTTTTGGTTCACCTCTCTGCACTCTCGTGATTTATTTGGTCAGTGGCACATACCTGATATCATCTAGTAAAGAGGTAAGACTTCTTTTTCTCCCCTTTTCCTGCCAACCATTAGTTTTATAGCAACATCCTCTATATCTCAATGAGAGCTCTTCACCCTTTCCTCTTAACATCACGGTCTCCTGCTTTTGTTAGTCTCTGCCAGGCTGTTCTTCTCCAAGGAGGAGCTGATAAAACCACGCTGCCATGTTACAAGGGCACCTCAGAGCTCCCCTACTACAGACTACAGTTATACTTAGTGCTTTTCACTCTTCTTTCTCTCCAAGCTGTTGCAGGAACTTCCCTCACAACACCATTCATCCATTTTCTACATTGCTTCATTTGCTCAGAGATTTCTTTTTATTATCTCTTCTCCAGTTTTCCTCACAGGCTCTTCCAGGAACTCCTCTCTTTGGGAGGCCACCAGAAGGTGTTTCAGGGTTCATCTTTATCCTCTTAATTTTCATGACCTGGCAGATTTTTTAGCTTCATTTGATTGTGTTCAAACATCCTAAATTTTCATTGTCTGTAGCCACAACCATTCTTCTCTTTTTTGTGGCTTTTTTCCTCTTTCTGCACACACATTCTTGTTCAGTGTCCTTACAAAGACAGACCTGCCACAGCATGAAATGCATTGGTATGGCAGCTTCTGCAATACAAATGCTGCTTTGCAAGGCAGTGTGGTCCCACCATTCCTCTCCACCCAACCCAGCAAGGATCCTTTGCTGCCCTACTCTTCTGGTTGAAGCCAAGCTTTCCACCCAAGGCAGCAGTGAGCAGATACAAAAAGCTGCTTAGGAAGCATTTGCTACTTGAAAGTCCTCCAAGGAAGGACTGGGCAAAAGGCAATATGCCAGATAGGTTCTTCCTTCAGGCCAGTGCCATATGAATCATGCTAAACTGCAATTCATAAGGCTGCAGACTTGGTTCCTGCTAACAGCATGACTGAAAGATTAGAAGCACATCTGAAGTGTGCCATGTGTGCTAAGGACAGGTCGACTGATCTCAAATGGTTGCTGATGATAGGAGATCATCCCTTAACCAAGAAGGGTTCTTCCCGGGTAGAAGATTGTATCTGGAGTCAATGCTGTTCACTACTCCTGTTCATAGAAACTGCACCTGGAAATCAAGAAAAATCATCACTGATGAAAGTCAAAGGAGATGCTTAGTTTGATGGAGTAGAAAATGATGAGTGGAGCAAAGATAAGCAAGCAGATGCATGGTGGTTTACTGGGGCAAAAACATTACAGCCAAAACTAAGACAGAACAATGCCTACAGAGCAAGAGGTGGAGTTTTCCCTGAAAAGCAGGTGCCTAAAGAAAGATTTAATGTCATTGTTAATATGGGTGAAGAGCTAAATTTTGCCCCTAGTGCAACAACATGTGAAGGAAGAGATTAATGAGGCCCTTACATGGACAGAAGGGCACCAAGAGGAGCAGCTCCTTGTTCCCATGAGCAGAGCTGATGAAACTGGTACCACAGTGTTGCCTGCTCATCTGACGTCTGTATCTTTAAAGGACTGCTAGTAAGCTACAGTGAAGATGTACACGTTGTGCAGGGCAATAAGCTGCACTGCAGGAACATCTCCCAGTGACAGTTAAAAACCTCTAGAGGCGCAGCTTCAAAAGGTGACTGAGAAGCCATCTCCCTGCAATCCTTTTATCCCAGTGATACGTGGAAGCAGTAGATCCCACATCTCATGCTGTCTGCACACCAAGCTTCTCAGGAAAAAACGCTTCAGCCAAGCATAAGTTATTGGTCAGAGCAACAATGTTAGAAGCATATGGGATAGCAGCAAATAGTGTAACTTAACCAAAGATACAACAGAGTAACACCAGAGGTCAAACTAGGAGACGTGTGATCTGTCCTGGACTGAGATCTATAATTCTTCCTACCCTCCCAACCACCTCCTGTAGCTTTCTTGTTTTTTGCTTCTCATCCTGTCTCTTCAGTTTCTCCTGCTACCAAGAAAGCAGCCTCCCCTGTTGGGAAACAGCTTTTGCTTCTGCTTGGCTGGTCTCTTCTGGGACATGGAGGAGAGCAGCACTTGCCAGGTGCTAGCACAGATGTTCTGCTTGTGGGACTCAAACCCATCCATTTGACTAGCAACGGCCTCTGTGCTCTCTTCTCCCTTCCCAGGACCCCCTAAAAGACCAATAGATCCCTCAGCACTGTCAGGAGAAATACATAGAAGCTGCTGAGCTTCCTGCTGTAACAAGAACCATGGTAAACTTCTGCTCTTACCCCGCACACACATGCACGTGTACACATCCTATTTCTTATCTGGTATTTTATTACTATTACTATTGACACCAGGTCAGTGGTAGCAGGTAATGTGCTGCATATAAAACCTGCTACAGGAGATACCAAGCAAGTAAGCAGCATGAATTAACACGCCTTCATTTCTTTTCTTAGCAAGATAGGAGTTTAGGAAGCCCAAGCAACAATGAAGAAAAGGAACCTTCCCCTCACTGACTGCACAGCTCTTTTTTTCTTCAATTACAGAGTGTAATTTGCAAACTGAATGATGTGGCAGAGAGGGACTGGTAACACTCCTCACACACACACCTTGAGTGCCTTCCTCCTCTCTGCTCACCACAGATGACCCCTTGATTAGTTTTTCTAAGGTTAAGATGCGTTTTATACCACATAAGAAAGAACAGTCTTCTGTCAAATGACAGCTGCTCAGTGGCATCTATTTTACTGATTATCGGTTAAGGTGAAGCTACTTTAACTCAGGGATCAGACTCTCAGTGGAAACTTTGTGTTTCCTTACACACCACAGAGTGTGTTTCATTTGATTTCTGAGTTTAAGGGACCATCTCTCATGAGCGCTGAGGAGAGAAAGCACTTGTGATACCATCTGTAAGGAAGTACGAAGCTTCCGTTAAAACGCAGCTACCCAGTGCTTCTGCAGCTGGTGGCTATCGCTGTGCAGGCAGCACCTCCACAGAGCTACCTGGAGAGAAGCCAGTGATTCTGCACCCTTAGAGCAAAGAAGCTTCTTCCCATCGTCCGAGAAGAAAGGAGGAGAAAAGGTAAAGTTCACAAAATGCAGCTGTTGCAGCAGTTTTGTATCCTGTATGTTCATCATGTGTGTGGCTGCAATGCTCTTTCATTGGGCTTTTCTTGCTGCCCAGGTAACTTTTAAAGCAGTTTTAACAACTCCTGCATCATCAGAGGTGTATGCGTGTTCTGTGAGAGTATGTTTTCAGTTTTACGTATCGCAGCGTATTACGCTGAACCTGTATTGCATTCGGGTATGTCTAGGTGCAGTTGTTGCAACGCTCTCATCCTTAGACCATTAGCATCAAATAGTTTTGTCCCTGTCACTTGTGATTCAGATTAAATTCCTCTGTGTGTGTAATGGAACAGAATGGTAGGCTGGAGAGGTGTTGTGCCTGGGATGACACACAGGAGGGGTCGGGTTAATGAAAATCAATGTTTGTTGTTATGTAGCAGCAACGCACAGTGCAAAGTCAAATAAAGGAATGATACTATTCTGCTATGCCTAAAAATAAACACAAAGGTGAAGGACAGAACTCAGGCTTAGAAAAATTCTGGTGTGTCTGGCTAAAACAGTAACACTTGTTGTGATGTGAATAACACACACATCAGTGATACATCAGCAGTATATCTACACTGTGTCCACGCTACCTCGAAATAACATCACTCAAACCCCTGTCTCTGCCTATTAGAAAAGAACACGCATACAAAAATGACCAATTCCTGTTATTCATTTGACCACTGGAGACAGCACTTACTGAAAACTCACGTCAGCTTTCAGTAAGCATGAATTCTTTAGAAGGGTCATATCCATTTTCATTACTGTCTTCTTACGATGATGTTTGCCTGATGAGATAGGGGGGTGAAATCCTGAACTGCTGTGAATAGCAGCTTTGCTTTTTACTTTATTCCACACAGGATTTACCCCTCTCTGATTTGATATATATGGTCTGTATCTTTCATTCCTACATGTTTTCCTCTTCACCAGGTTCTGCATGCTTGACATCCAAGCTGCACAGTGCTGCAAAGACTAAACACATGCATGTCAAGTGTGATGAGGAACGGCTGAGGGACCTGGGGGGTTTAGTCTGGAGAAGAGAAGGCTCAGGGGGGACCTTATCGCTCTCTACAACTGCCTGACAGGAGGTTGCAGTGAGGTGGGGTCGGTCTCTGGTCCCCAAGGAACAAGTGGCAGGACAAGAGGAAACGGCCTCAAGCTGCACCAGGGGAGGTTTAGATGGAGATGAGGAACAATTCCTTCCCCAGAGGGTGCTCAGGCATTGGAACAGGCTGCCCAGGGCAGTGCTGGAGTCACCATCCCTGCAAGTGTTCACACCCCGTGTAGACGAGGCCTCAGTGACATGGGTCAGTGGTGGCCTTGGCAGCTCTGGGCAACGGTTGGACTGGAGGATTTTAGAGGTCTTTTCCAACCTGGTTGATTCTGTGGTTCTATGACAGTCCATTTTGCAAGGGTGCATATGCATGATGCTTAAACAGTATTTGTGAACCTGTAATGAGAAGTGTGTTGGAACTACAAGTCAGTTGCTGCTAGTGATTCAGACTTGTGAGGTAACCACATGATCCTCATGCACCGAAAGTCACTGACATTTTTATGCTCTTTCCTTCTCAGGAACTGGGGGAAAAAACATGAGTTCTTCAAGTACAGAGTCCTTTGAAGTTGACAACTCAACCTTATATGAGTATTATGATAATTATAACGATGCTCCAAAACCCTGCAGTAAGGAGACCATCAAGAGGTTTGCAGCCTTCTTCCTACCTATTCTGTATAGTCTAGTATTCCTGGTTGGGCTCACGGGAAACATTCTGGTCATTGTGGTCCTCTTCAAATACAAGAGGTTGAAGAGCATGACTGATGTGTACCTGCTGAAATCTCAGATTTGCTCTTTGTTTTATCCTTGCCTTTCTGGTCTTATTTCATGATAGACCAATGGGTTTTTGGAACTCCCTGGTGTAAAATCATTTCATGGATATACCTGGTTGGGTTTTACAGTGAGATATTTTTTATTATGCTCATGAGCATAGACAGATACCTGGCTATTGTTCGTGTAGTCTTTTCCTTGAAAGCAAGGACTGCCTTCCATGGCTTGGTTACTAGCCTTGTTGTATGGCTTGTAGCTCTTTCAGCCTCAGTTCCAGAACTCGTATTCTCAGAATCTTTCAATGAACAGAATTATACTACCTGCAAGCCAAGATATCCAGGCAATTTCATAGCATGGAAGCTTTTTTCTACTTTGGAAATGAACATTCTAGGGCTCCTAATCCCTCTTACAGTTATGGTATTTTGCTACTCCATGATCATTAAAACATTAGTTCACTGTAGAAATGAGAAAAAAAATAAGGCTGTGAGGATGATCTTTGCTGTCATGATTGTGTTTTTCTTCTTTTGGACCCCTTACAACATTGTTATCTTTTTACAACTGTTGGAAATCATGGGAGTCTTTAGAGACTGTCAAGTGAGCAGGAATCTAGACTATGCTTTCCAGGTAACAGAAATCCTCAGCCTTTCTCACTGTTGCCTCAATCCAGTCATCTACTTCTTCATGGGGGAAAAATTTAAGAAGTACGTGAAGATGCTCTTTAAGAATTGGTGGTTACCTGGAGAGCTTTGCAAGTGCTGTGGAGTTCACATCACTTACCACTCTGAATCTACCAGTTCCTTCCACACACAGTCTACAGGAGATCAAGACACTCTGTAATGTGTTTCACACCGGCCACGGGACTCACCAGCCAGCCACCTGACAAAGGCAAGAGCTCTGAAAAGCCAAGCAAATGCACATGCGTTTAACAATAAGCTAGTGCTGGATAATGACACACTTCAGCTTTGATTCCTGCCTCTACAGATTTTCTGAAGATTATTAGAGCAGGTGTCCTAGATGTGAAGTGTGGGACTGTGTAGGACTTGTTCCCTCTGACTCAGCAATCTCTTAATAGCACCTGCTACTGCCAAATGTTTCATCCCAAGGGAGGGGCATACACCCTCTGTAATTAAGGACTCAAAATATATTCTTTATGTGCACAAAGACGCAAAGCAAATGCATTACATTGTGTTCTAGACAGTTTCTCTTAGGTATCCAAGTTGCCACATGCACCTATGTGTACGTGTATATATAGGCATTTTGAATTACTTTATCACTGTAATTCAGGATAACAATTCTGCATTTTAATTAACATTTTAAAAGTGTTTTGGATAGAAGTGCTTTAAAAAAACCTTATTTTCCAGCATGTGTGAATAAATTCAAAGCATCTTGGTTAAAAGTATATCTTTAAAAATGAATGTTCTTTGTTGCAAAAGTACTTAACCCCAAGACTCAGTTTTCATTCACTGGAGATGTATCTGGCAATCAAGAGGGTAAAACCAGAGATTGTATAGAAATGGTCTGTGAGAAACCACATCAAGAATCCTAGTGTTTGGTAACAGCAGAATGCAAAGAGTGCGATGCTTCAGTAGCCACTCGCAGATTTACATGGTATTAATCAGAGACCTGATCAGGAAGCAAACTCACGCTGCAGTGCTGAGATTTCGGTACAAAAATAACTTAAAAAGAGGCAAATATCAGTAACGTGGTGGCAGGTAAAGCATGAGTTGAAAAACACATATTGGCAGGTATTTCTGGTGTGTCTGTGCTGGGTCACTACCATTCCGCAGGAAGAGTTTAATTTCTTAGATTGTCAGTAACAAAGTGCCTGCTCAGCACTCAGGCAAAGAGCAGACGAGACATTCACATGCAGCAGGAAAGGCTTGGAGAAGACATGTAAAAATATCATAGTGCTGGTGTTCTTATGGCCCCAAATAAGAAATGTTAAGTGGAAGCCCATCTCCATGTGACCTCTCTTGTGATACAAGACTGAGAATAAAAAGCAGCACAATATTCATGCACACACATCCATCATAATCGAATTTTGGGAATGAGTTACCATTAGCTGTTGGCTGAGGCTGACAAGCAAGGATCTGCACTAATGCAGATAATGAGAATAGCTGTGGAAGACATTACTTGTGGTAAGAAAGTGTCTTCCTTCCCAAGAAAAAGACTGTAAAATCTTACTACTTGTCCTGGGTTCAGCTACAGCAGTCATTTTTTCTCCTTCTCAGTAGCTGGTGCAGTGCTGTGGTTTTGACTTTCAGTCTGGGAACAACGCTGATAACACCGATGTTTTTAGTTGTTGCTCAGTAATGTTTACTCTGACCAAGGACTTTCTCAGTCTCATGCTTTGCCAGAGGGAAGGGGAAGCCAGGAGGAAGCAGAGACAGGACCCCTGACCCAAACTGGCCAAAGGGGTATTCCATACCACAGCACGTCATGCCCAGGATAGAAACTGGGGGGAGTTACCCGGAAGGCCCAGATCGCTGCTCGG